ATTCTCACAGGTGTGAGATGGTATCTTATTCTTGTTTTGATTTGCATTTCTCTAATGATAAGTGATGATGAGCTTCTTTTTCATGAGCCTATCGGCCACCTGTATGTCTTCTTTGGAGAAGTGTCTATTTAGGTTTTCTGCCCATTTTTTGTTTGGGTGGTTGTTGTTGTTGTTCATGTCTATCAGTCCTGTTTAGTTCTAGGATATTAGTCTCTTTTCAGATGTGTGATGTGCAAATATTTTTTCCCATTCAGTTGGGTGTATTTTCATTTTAAGGATAGTTTCTATTGCTTTGAAGAACAATTTTTGCTTAATGTACTCTTTTTGTTTACTTTTGTTTTTGGTTCATTTGTTGTAGGTGATGTCCCCATGTTCTTAACTGAGTCCCAGGGTTGTGGAGTGTTCGCCTATGTTTTCTTCTATGTAATTTATGGTTTTAGGTCTTGTAATTGCGTATGTAATGTATATTCTGGACTTACTGTGGTGATCATTTCATAATATAGACAAATATTGTATCACCATATTGTACACCAGAAACTAATGTAATGTTATGTGACATTTATACTTCAATAATTTTTTTTTAAATTCTTGTTTCTACTAGGTTAAAATAATCACTTTCTCCTTAGCCACAGATATGAGAAAGGCACTAATATGGGTAACACTTCTTGTATGGGAAAACCTTCCCAAAACAAACTTTAAATGTTGTGGTTTATAATCCCAAAACAATGTTCTTATTTTTCTCCTCGCTGCACATTTTTGAAGTTCATACATGTAACTGCTTTGAAAAGCTTAAATAAAATACAGAAAAAAAAACCTTGTATTAAAAGGTTGGTTCTTAAATTGACCATCAATATGAGAGTTTTGCAAATTTTTACTAAATAAATTCTTCTAGGAAATAAACACTGACTTTTTAAAATCCTTTTTCCCCCATAGTTTAAGGTGCTCAGTTGTTTTGCCCTTGGATGCAAACTGATACAGGTTCACATCAAAAAACAAGAAAAAAATTAAACAATATAATCTTACACCTTAAGGAAACAGAAAAAGAAGGACAAACAAAACAAAAAGTCAACAGAGGAAAGAAAAAATAGAACAAAATATAAAGAAGAAATAAATGAAATAGAAATCAAAAAGACAATCCAAAATATCAATGGCCAAAATTGACTCTTTGAAAAAAAAATAAACAAAAGACAAACCTGAACTTGTGCTCACAAAGAAAAAGAGGGAGAAAATTGTAATAAATAGAATCAGAGATGGAGCAGGGGTACTTACAAGAGCTATCTCAGAAATAAAGAGCATCATAATATATTACTATGAAGATTATATGATAATATATTGAATAACCTGAAACAAATAATCATTTCTTAGAGGTATGCAACCTTTCAAGACTGAATAAGGAGGAAACAAAAAACCTGAACAGACCAATACAAGCAAGAAATTGCAGTAGTAATCAAAAGTCTTCCCCAAATAAAAGGCCAGTACCACATAGTTTTGTAAGTGAGTTCACCCAAACCATCAAAACTAAACTAAAATTATCCTTCTCAAATTATTTCAGAAACCAAGAAGAGGGAATGATTTCCAATACATTTTATGAGGCCTCATTACCCTAATACCAAATCAGCCAAGGACATCACAAAAAAGAAATCTGCATACCAACATCCCTGATGAACAAAGATGCAAAAATCCTCAATATAGTAACAGTAAACAAAAAATATTTTAAATGCATTCAAAGGATCATAAGTGAGATTTATTCCCAGGATGTAAAGAAAGGATGGATTAACATCTGAAAATTAGCTAATGTAATTCATTACAACAAAAGTAAATAAACACTAGAAATCTGACTATACAATTGAGATTACCAGATTGGGGAACAGCAGAAAGGGAAGGGGGCACAATGAACAATGGTAGAGGACTATGGGTGCCTTGGTGGTAGGTGTGGAAACATACCTGAAGGGTGTGACCTCTACTTCTAAATCATATACAGCATTGCAAATCAATGTTGTCTCAATAAAATTAAATGAAAAACATAGTCCTGAAGAATAAAAACAAACAGACTTAGAGATAGCATTGATAAGATTCAACATTCATTTATGATAAAAACCATCAATAAACAGGCTTAGAAGGAACATATCTAAACATAACAAAAGCCATATTTGACAAAACCACATTCTTAATTTCAACTGAAAGCTTTTCCTCCAATATCATGTATACTACAGGAAGTCGCTTTAACCACATAATATTGGTGAAATATTGCAACATAATATTGGACGTCTTAGCTAGAGCAATAAGGAAATAGAAAGATATAAAGGGACTCCAGAATGGAAGAGAAGAAGTAGAGCTATCACTAGTTGCACACAACATGCTAATATACATAGAAAACCCTAAGGACTCAAAAAAAAAAAAACTATTAAGAATAAATCAGTTCATTAAAGTGGCAGGTTACAAAGTCAATATATAATAATCAGTTGAGTTCTCATATGCAAAATATATGAACTAGAAGAGAAAGAAACCAAGAAAATAATCCTCGTTACTATCACATAATAAAGTATGAAATACCTAGAAGTAAACTTAATAAAGGAAGTGAAGGACTTTTGCAATGAAAATTGTGACACTATAAAAGAAATACAATAAGACAAAAACAAATGCAAAGACATCTTGTGTTCACGAATTGGAAGAAATAATATTGTCAAAATTGCAATCTTACCCAGAGCAATATAAAAATTCAATGCAATCCCTATCAAAGTTTCAATGGTAGTCTTCAAAGACATAGAATAAATATTACTGAAATTTGTATGGAATCACAAAAGACCCCAGTAGTCAAAGAAATTTTCACAAAAGATTAAGAATGGAGCTATCACATGCCCATACATTAAACTCTCCTACAAAGCTATAGTAATCTAAACAGTATGTTATTAGAACAAAAAGACACATGGTCCAATGGATTATAATTGAAATCCCAGGAACAAACCCATACTTATATGGATAGTTAATCTATACATTGGAGAATGGAAATTCTCTTCAACCAATGGTGTTGGGGAAACTAGGCAGTCAGAAGCAAAAGAATAAATCTAGATCACTACCTCACACTTTATACAAAATTAATACAAAATAAAGATTTAGATGTAAGACCTAAAACCATAAAATACATAGAAAAAAACAGCAAAGCAAAACACTCCAAACCTTGGACTTAGTGATGTATTTTGGGACTTGGTGCCTATGGCAAGGTAAAGATAAGCAAAAATAAACAAATGGGACTATATCAAACTAAAAAAGTTTCTGCACAGTGAAATGAACTATCATTAAAACAAAAAGAGGGGCCTCCCTGGTGGTACAAGGGGTTAAGACACAACTCTGAAGCTATGCACAGCCTCTGCAGCACAAGTTCAATCCCCGGCCCGCCAGGGATCTACCCATATGGTGTAGCAGACCTCCCCTGGTTTGCCTCCTGCTCCCCTCAGCAGTGTATTTCAGTCAGTCTGCCTGTTCTGTTTCCCACTCTGTCTCTGGTGAATCATCTCACACCCCACACCTCTGACCTGTACCCCAGTTCTTGTATGCATAAATAAATAAATCTTAAAAAAAAAGACACCCTCCTGAATGGGAAAACATTTGCACATTCTACATCTGAAAAGGGCTAATACCCAAGATCTACCAATAAATCACATAGCTCACCAAAATGAAAACTAATAACCCAATCAAAAATATTGACAGAAGTCTAAACAGATACTTCACCAAAGAAGACATACACATGGCCAACAGACACATGATAAAATGCTTATCATCACTTATAATCCAGGAAATTCAAATCAAATCCACAATGAGATAGTATTTCGACCCTATGGAAAAAGGCCTATATCAAGAAGTACACTAACAACATGTTTGGGATTATGTGGAGTCCTGTACATTGTTGGTGGGAATATATAACTGGTCCAGCCCTTATAGAAAACAGCATGGAGGTGTCTCAAAATATTAAAATAGATCTACCATATGATCCATTATTTCTGCTCCTGGGTATCTACCTGAAAAAAGCAAAATCACTAATTTGAAGGAATGTTTGCACTCCTGGGTTCATTGCAGCTCTATTTACAATAGCCAAGTTATTGAAGTCACCTAAGTGGCCAAGGACACACACACACATGCGCACATAAATATATACACATAAACACACACATACACACAATCAAACTGAACTCTTTCCATTTGTGACAATATGTATAGAACTTTAGGGTATTATGCTAAGGAAATAAGGCAAGAGGAGAAGGACAAATACTGGATGGTGCTGCTCATAAATGGAATATAAAGAAAAAAAACACTAAGACAAAACAAAATCAAAAACCTTAGAAATATGACTGTAAAAAATAGGCTATAAGTGTGGGAAGGAAGGGTGGAGAGCAAAGGTGGGAGGGAGCACAATGAACTAGATGTTCACTGTGGATGACAATGGGTGCCTTTGTGGTGGGTGTGGTGTGGTGGTAACACACATATGAAGAGGTGGGATCATATATAGTGTTGTAAATCAATGTTACCTTAATGAAAAAATTATCACAAAAATATCAGTCAAAAAATTCAATTAAATTAAGCTAAAAATGAAAGGTAAAAATATAAGAAATGACACAGCTATATGTTTTTAAATATAAATTATCTTTCCTTTAATTTTTCCCAGTTCTACCAACTTTGACTGTTTTGCGGTGTTCTAACATGTATATTTTACCTGTACCTAGTTATATTTTAAGTATTCCTTTTTTGTATTTTCTAAGCTTTTGAAAATGTAATATGGTAATACTTTAATATTTAGTTTCCCTAGATATATTAAAATCTTATGCTTGAAGTTTTTATCATCTAGAAATAGAGATTTAAATTAAATCAAAAACTGTGTAGAGGTTTTAGGATAAAACTAACAATTCAGGCATATAAATTTAAATTTAAAGTGGTAATAAGTAAAATGGAAAAAGAGAGTATATTTTATAAATAATTGCCAAAACTATTTTAAGTTTTATGTGAAGTTGCATCATTTTCATGATCACAATGATATAAAACAAGTAACTTCCAAAATACGAAGTCATCTCACCTTAGTTTCAACTTTCATTTTTTTATCATTTTAAATGAATTTTTCTTGAACGTTTTCCAAAATTTTGATGGATATATCAGTTTAATGTGCATTTTAATTTTTCTAGATTTTAGCTTTTACATGCTATTCATGTTTTTTCTCAAGCTCGTTATAACACACTGTTTGAAGCAAGGATGTTCATCATAGTATTGTTTACAAATGGAAAACATAAATATTATTCAATAATGAACTGCTTATATAAGTTTAGTACATCCACATAATATGCTGTACTATGTTAAATGATGATACAGATTTATATTTTTTTTAACATGGAAAGATGATTGTTCTGTTTTAAAATTCAAATATGACTCATAACACATATATAGTATGTTTTCTTTTTTGTTTGTAAAACAATGTGCTTACAGGGGCAAAAGGCATGGAAGGCTATACATACACTGAAAATATTAATAGTGGTTATCTCTGACCTGTGGAAATTTTACTTCTTTATAAATTTTGCATCGTGTACATTTCTTTACAATGAACATGAATTATGTCTATTTCAATAGAACAACAATTTCCATTTAAAATATTTGATAATGAATATACGTGGAATCTGTAGTAAATAATTACCTATAAACGAGTTATTCTCATTATTTTATGGGCAAATAGCTAACAAAAGTGTTAACAAAATTATATCTTTATATTGAGTTATGAATTAAATCAAATGTTTCTATAAAAGGTAAAAAAAAACAGCTGAGAATAGAGATAACACATTCAGTTCTGGTTGTATCTGTGGTATAAGTGAATACTATTTTTAAAAGGTAATTATTTAAATCTTATAACAATTAGTTATTTATTTCTCTACTTCCAAAATTGATTGGAACTGGCATTTATTAACAGAAAGGCACTGCAAAGGAAACAAAGATAATTATAATATGGATAGAAGGTAGATGGTTGGGAAGGAGAGGGAACTGTAAATGAAATACAGAAAATCTGTAATCTAGGAATTATAGGCTAAATAATATAACTGTAATATAGAACATAACATTTTGTCATAACTTCCAAACAGCCAGACATAAAGAGAATCATACTGGATTAATAGCTCTAATATAATAAGATGGAGGGATGTCAGTTAATTAAGAGAGACAAATTTTCTCTTAACTGAAATATTTGTGAATGTTATCACACAGACTTATTTAAAAAATAAATATAATGGCAAGTTCAATAGAAGATGGTCTTCAAAGCAGTCTTTCAACACTGTTATTTTGATTTCCTTTTATTTTGTCAGAAAAGGCCGAAGGTAAAATCTTCAAATTATTTGAGAAGGCATTTCAGTGCAGGTATACATCTAGTTAACTTAATATGGTCCACATAGATGTATCATGGATCTAAGAAAAATTAGTGGCAATAGTGTCCTTAGACTTTCCTCAAATATCAAATCTTTCAGGAAAGGTTTTTAAGATGTGACATGATTTAAATGAAAAGTGCCTAAAGTGTTAATTTTCTAAAGTACTGATTGAGAAAATACCAATGTGCTCACTTCTCTGGATATGAAGTTATAAAGAAAATTCCCAACACTTAGTCAAAGCCATTACCCAGTCTGTGATATACACACAGTATATTAATAGAGAAAAATACATTAATAAATAAAGGGAAGTAGGAAAGATCACATTTTTTAAAAGAATATTCATTTAAAATAATAATTTAAAGTGAAATTATGCACAAGTGTTAATGTGTCACATATATTTCTCCCCATTCTATTGATTCTTCAAATATCAAGTTAGAAGTTTTCACTGTGATAGATTCAGAAGTAAGAAGCATTATAAGACTATTTTCATAGAAGTAATTAAATTTAGTACTATTACTGAAGTAAAGAAGTAAATATACTCAATCTATTACCTCACCTTGACTGGTCTAAGGAAAAAAATATGTGAAGGAATAAAATTTATTCCACATTTCCCCAAGAATATCATATCAAAAAATAGTACAAAAATGACAATTTCACAATTAAAAATTATGTTATTCACCAAAATGAACAAGGTTTTCTAGTTGCACTTTCTTCAAAAGAAAGTATTCCCTTCAAAAACAACAACAACAACAACAAAAAACCTGTGAATGGGCATAAAATAATCTCTTATCACAAAGTAGCCCAAACTAAGTAGGCACCAGCTTAAGGCTGAAATAAACTGTGTATTCTCATTTTCACCACCTGCGCCTGGCCTGGCCCAGGGTGACATGCAGGGGCTTGGAGCCCACTATACGACCATTCATCTCATCTACTGCTTTGGTTGCCTCTTCAAAGGAGGAGAAGCAGACGACACCAAACCCTTTGCCTTGCCCCACTTCCACCATCACTTTGGCCCTGCTAATTGATCCAAAGGAAGAAAATTCGTCCTTCAGCTTTTCATCATCAATGGTCTCATCCAGGTTCTTAATATAGATAGGCACCCCAGGAGGCCGACTTTTTTCTTTCAATCTCAGTCGTTCAAATCTTTTCCTTAATTCGGCCAAACGTTCAATTTTCTTTTGTGCTCGCCCTACATACAGGACTTTACCATTCATGGACTTTCCATGGAGGTTTAGCACAGCCTTTTGGGCGGCCTCATGTGTCTCATATCTCACAAATCCAAACCCTTTAGATTTTCCGCTGGCATCTCTTACTACCTTAACACTCTCAGTTGGCCCATATTCACTGAAAATTTCCTTCAGTTTTTCATCATCCATGTCTTCGCCAAAGTTTTTAACGAAAACATTAGTGAAAGTTGCTCTGTCCCTGGTTCTGACTTCAGCTGCCCTCTCTTCTGGAAATTTGAATCGGCCAACATACACTTGGCGGTTGTTGAGTCGCACTCCATTCATGTGCCAGATGGCCCTATTGGCAGCGGCCAGGCTGTCAAAGTGCACGTAGGCATAACCTTTTGAGCCATTGTCATCGCATACGACTTTGCAGGAAAGAATGTTACCAAAAGCAGAAAATAAATAAAAAAGGGCTCTATTGTCTATGGACTTATCTAGGTTTTTGATGAATATGTTTCCAACTCCAGACTTTCTTAAACGGTCATCTGGCTGAGACCACATAAGGCGGAACGGTTTCCCATTAATCAAATCAAAGTTCATAGTATTCAAGGCCCACTCAGCGTCTGCAGGAAAGCGGAAGTTAACGTAGCCATAACCCAGGGGGTTGCGGGTCACCGGGTCACGGCAGATTCGGGTGAAGCGCAGAGGGCCAGCAGGCCTGAACTTCTTATATAGCATGTCCTCAGTGACATCTGGGTCTAAGTCACCCACGTAAAGGGCAGCCTTGAGATACTTCTTTTTCTTGCCAGCAGGATTAGGCTCCCCACTCCCCATCTCTCTGAACACTGAAAAGAACCTCTCTTGAGAGAGAAAAAAGACTGCTTTCTCTAAGATACGGGCCAAGCAGCTGTTCAGGAACAGAAAAAGCCAAGGCCAGAGAAGCTAAAAGCAGACTCAGAATCACCGTTGAGGCTGAAAAAATGAAGTTTAGAAACAGCTGGTCAGCAGGCACAGAATAAACGCATTAGGAAAAAAGGCACCCCAACAGCGAATCTTTTCACCCTAAGGGGATTTAAATTTCCACCCATTCAGATTTAAAATCAGTTTCAAAGCCAGTTGTAGGAAAGACAGTTCCCTTTTCCCGTTCAATTGTAAGAAATCATGAAGCAGCTGACTGGCTTCCCAGGTCTAGCATTGCCGACGGAGGCCTTGAGATCCGTTTTCTGTACAAATATAGGCCTCCAGCTCCTGCTGACCTAAAATTATAGCACGGAGGGTCGGCCCGAACGTGTATTCCTCCGCCGGCTGCCCGGCTGGTCTCGGGAGGGCTTGCAGCGAACTAAGGCCATTACACAAACTCAGCGTCAGCTAAAGGGCAGGCGGGACTTGGTGTATGAGGGCCGGCAGGCAGGCTGAGGCGGCAGATCGGACAGAAAGACAGACATACAGACACATGCGCGGGGCCCCGAGACCGCCCAGATACCCAAGATGCCCACTGGGTACGGACCGAATGACGCGCGGTGATTTCGGCAGCCTGAGATTCGCCGCAGGTCCGGAGGGACTGAGTGGCAGACGCGCACTGGGCCAGCTCTGACGCGAGGTGGTTCCGGACAGATGCGGGGCGGAGCCAGAAGAGAAGGGCAGATGCGCCGCTGACGGGCAGAGAGCGGACAGATGGACAGGGCTTACTCTGTGCAGGACAGACAGACCCAGGGAGGAAAAGGATGTAGCTGCGGTAGGGCGTGCGGGCGGGCGGGCGCGAGGAAGAGGAAACCCGGAACTTGCTCAGCGCCAAGATATGAGAGAGAGAGAGAGAGAGAGAGAGAGAGAGAGAGAGAGAGAGAGAGAGAGAGGAGGAGAGAGAGAGAGAGAGAGAGAGAGAGAGAGAGAGAGAGAGAGAGAGAGAGACGGTTGGAGGTTGGGGGGGAGAGAGAGAGACTTGGTTGCAGAGGGGGTGAGGGAGAGAGAGAGGAGGGAGGGAGAGAGAGGGAGGGAAGGAGAGAGGGTGGGAGAGACAGAGATCCAAAATACTTAAGTTTTACACACATCTATAGTTGTTTTCGTCTATGCTTAATTAGTGGACTAGAACTCTGGACTGTATTTTTCTCATTTAGAAATACTGCATTAAAATAACATTCATAAATCAAAGAGAATAAATCCCATAATATCTGAATCTGATCTTTGTGTTGGAGTTTAATGAAGTAAGGACCAAATACAACAGAATCCTGTGTTTTATTTCACCTGGTGATCATTTAGCACTGGACTGGGAGGCCAGGAAAGACTGAATCTGACTAACAGTGAATCAAACCAACATTTCATTGGTTTATGTAAACATATTAAGTGTCCCTATTCCAATTAATGTGTATTCATTTTCTTTAAGATTATGGGTAGAAGTGTTATTTTCTAAAGAACTCTTACTCTATATACATACAACCAAATTGTGGCCATTGCAATATAATCATTCCAAACCATAGTGACCTTTTTATCACATCAAGAATCAGAAATGTTGAACAGCTTTGAAATAAATTTTAGTAGAGCTCCCTCTACTAAGTAAAAGTTTATGGCGGAAAAGAGAACATTTTAACCAACAACTTTTAAAATTCACCAAATATTTAGAATAAATATTTCTCTGTTATTTTATTATATATTAATGGTACATTTATAGTCCATGATTCTGATTCATACATTAAAATCCATTAGACATTTCCAGTCAGATTCCTAAGGCAGTTGGTTGAAGCATATCTGAGTATTTCTAAATCAGAGAAACATTTTGCATGAGGAAAGATTCAAGGACAACTGGCATTCCAAGTGCATTCTATCACACGTTGTTAGTTACAGTTCATAGTAACCGGTCAGCATGAGTGGAAGAAGAGAATTGAGAATTTATATTTGCAGCCTTGTCACAGACACATTTTTCAGTCTTCCCAATTAAGTCTCAGCTGTACATTTGTTTGTACTTCACTGTAAAAGTAAATTTGCTGCTCTCTTGAATGGTATTTGGGATGACTGATCAAAATACTGTAGACTTTATTACCTAGACAAAGAAAAAAATGTCAAGAAAACAGTTTGACTTTAAGAGTGCAGTATAAATGGCATTTCTACAGTAATTTTTTTCATTCAGCAACAATTCATTTTTTTCAGTCCCTTCTTTGTTTTTTTTTTTCATTATAACATTTTATTTTTTATTTAAATTTTATTTTTATATTCCCCATACAATTACAACCCCCTTATTTTGACCCCAATCCCGCCCCTCCCCGCCCCCCACCCCCCATAGAGTGTCTCTGGTTCATAGTTGTTTGTTGATTTTGATATTTTCTTTCTTATAGTTATTCTTTTTCCTGGTCCCTTATTTAAGTTTTCTAGATTCGGCTATGAGTGAGACCATCCGGTATTTTTCTTTTTCTTTCTGGCTTGTTTCGCTGAGCATGATCCCTTCCAGCTCCATCCATGTTCAGCAACAATTCTTTTTCTCACTTTCCAAATCTTGTATCCCGAGTCATGATTACTTATGTTCTGAATAATAATCCTGAAGGTATTTTGATAAAATTAATTATCAAGGAAAGGTTAAATTGTGTTGATTAGATTATACTTCCTAAACTGAGAAAGTGACCAGAGTGGGAAAAGCTTAATCAGCTTATAAATTGGAATGGGTATTTGCTAAATTGTTAATAAACCACATTATCTTATTCTTCAATACTTAAATAAAAATTCAGTATTTTAAACTATAAAGTTGTAATGTATATATTTAAATAAGATTGTGGCTATATTTTATAAGAGATTTGTTAGAAAATAAGAAAAATAATTTTATTAAAAAATCTTAACATTATTTGTCTCATGAACTAAATCACTGTTGAAGTAAAAAAATCATACATTCAACTGTGAAGAAATGAGAGTAATAAAACAAATATAACAACCTTATATGTATTTTGGTTGATATATCTCTTTAGGGTGGGTGTCCTTTGATGTGGATCTTATTAATTTATAATAAATCAATAAAATGTGAATGTATGCATGTTTTACATATTTACAATCCAGTCTATTTAGGGTTTTATGTAACATATATAATGTGCAAGCAACATATTTTCTGTTATGGTGCCTTGAAATAGGGTAGACGTATAATGTACTTGGCAGGGAAAATACACAAACCCCACAATCACTGATTAAATATCTATTTATCTTGACCTAGACAATTAAAAAATAATTTTTATAACTATAAATTTCACAATTCATTTTTAAGTTGTGTAAGATACACTAACAAAATTTATCACCTTAACAGTTTTTAAGGGACAATGAGAATATTCATGTTTTTTTTTTTTCTTGACTGAAGGAACATGGGTTTAAAACACTGTATGTTATTAAGGGGACTAAGCTCATACTGCCTCAGATGTGTGTTACCACACCATCCTCTCCACCCACAAACCCACAGGCATTAAATCTAGGCCATTAGATTTCTTCCATCATTTGTTGCCACCCCAACCTCTAATAGCCTCAATTCCACAGTCATATTGCCAGGGTTTGTATTGGTTTAGGTTTGTGTGTTCTTTTTGGATAGTTTTCTCTATATTCCATATACATGAAATCACCAGGTATTTGTCATTTTTCTTCTAACTCATATTGTTTGGAATAATCCCCTCCAGTTCCATCCCTGTTGTCAGAAATGGCAAGAGTTCACTTTTTTTTTTTGTAGTTGAGTAATATTCTACTATGTACATATATACCACATCTTTTTAATTCATTCCTCTGTCAATGAGATTTTAGGTTGCTTCCATGACTTGGCTGTGATAAGTACTATTGCAATGAACACAGGGGTGCATATATACATCACAATTATTAATTTTGTATTCTTTGGGTAGATACATAGAAGTAGAATTATTGGATCATACAGTAGATATATTTTTAATATATCGAGGATCTTCCATACTGTTTTCCATAGGAACTGGACCAGTCTACATTTTCATCAACAGTATACCAAGTTTCTTTTTTCTCCAAACCTGTGCAGCATTTGTTGTTTCTGGTACTATTAATACAGGCTATTCTCACTGGAGTTAGGAGGTATCTCATTGTAACTTTGACTTGCATTACCCTGATAAGTGATGGTGAACATTTTTTCATGTGCCTGTTGGCTATCTGTATGTCTTCGTTGGAAAGGTATCTATCTCTTCTGCCCATTTTTTGATTGGGATCCTTTTGTGTAAGTTCTGTTGAGTAGTATGAATTTTTTGCAGATCTCATTGTAATTTTTATTTTAATTTCACTGATAATAAGTGATAATGAGTATTTCTTTTGTGTGTTGACCAATCTGTATGTTTTTATCAATAGCTACTGAGAAAGCATTAGATAATATTCAACATCCATTTATGATAAAAACCTCAAAAAACTGGGCCTCCCCTGATGGTGCAGCGGTTGAGCGCTGGGCTGCGAGGCTGCCCACTGCCTCTGTAGTGCCGGTTCATTCCCAGGCCGCCGGCAAAGGTCCCACAAAAAAAACAAAACAAAACAAAACAAAAAAAAAAACAAACAACAACAAAAAAAAACTCAAAAAACTGGGGATAAGTGGAGTATATCTTAACATAATAAATGCCCACAGCTAGCATTTTCCATGTTAAAAACTGAAAGATTTTGCACTAAGAAATGGTAGAGGACAAGGATGCCCATTCTCACCACTGCTATTTAATATAGAATTGGAAATAGTAGCTAGAATGAGACAAGTGAAAGATACAAAGAAATACAAATTTTCAAAGAAGTAAAGCTATCATTATTTTTAGACAACATGATAATATACATATAGAACCCTAAAAACGTCACTGAAAAACCAATTAAAACAATAAATCAGTTCAGCAAAGTGACAACTTACAAAATCAATTTACATTCACCTGCATGTCATTGAAAATAATGAACTAATAGAAGAAGAAATTATGAAAGTGTTTCTAAAGAAACACAAAGAAATGGAAAGTTATTTCCTTCTCAGGAATGGGAAGAATCAAATTGTCAATTTAACCATCCCATACAAAGCAAAATACAGACTCAATGCAATCCCCACCAAAATTTCGATGACAGTCTTCACATCAATAGAATAAACATTACTGATATCCATATGGATCCACAAAAGACCCCAAATAGGCAAAGCAATCTTGACAAACAAGTGTGATATCAGTGGTGATATACTTTCAGATCTGAAACTATACTAAAAAACCATAATAACTAAACACCATGGTACTGGAACAGAAATAGAAACATAAATTGAGAGAACAGCAATAAAACCACACCAACATATACAGTGAACATATGACAAAGGAGCCAGAAATAAGTACTGGCAAAAGGAAAGCATCTTCAATAAGTGCTTTTAGAATACTGGAAAGCTACCTGCAAAAGAATGAATTTAAACCACTATCTCACATCATATACAAATATCACCCCTGAATGGAAAATAAAAGACTTGGATGTAAGACCTGAAACATAAAACACATAAAGGAAAACTTGCAAAACACTTCCCAACATAAGCTTCAGTGATGTCTGTGTGGATTTGTCTCTAGAAATAAGGACAACAAAAGAGAATATAAACAAACTGGGACTATACAAAACTTAAAAGTTTATGCACAGCAAATGGAGCTGTAAGAAAAGTGAAAAGTCATCTTACTGAATGGAGGAATATATTTGCACACCATACATCTGACAAGGTTCTGGTATCAAATATCAAAGAATTCATAAACTCAACAA